AAGGGGATGGGTTTAGACACAGAGCAGGACAGGGGATGCTGCGACTGCTGCTGCTCCCAGCACCGTGTGGGGAAACTTGTCCCTGTGTGCTGTCCCTGTCACCAGGGCAGTGAATGTCCCCTGCCCCATTTCATCCACTCCCTGCCCTTGGTCCCGCAGCCACTGCCACCCCCCTGGCCCACCACCCCCTCACCGAGTGCCAGCCCTCTCGGAAGTGATCCTCGGGTCCTTGGAAATCTCTGTCATCCCAAGGGGGACGATCATCCCAAGGGGGACGGTCATCGGGTGCCCATCTCCTGTCCTCCTCATTCCAAGGGATGTTGTCAGGGCCAGGGAAGGGTCTGGGGTCCCAGGGACCGGGCTGCAATGACAAATTGCCACCAGTGAGGATGGTGACATGCTGAGGGTAACCATACAGCTCCCCACCCTCAGTTCCCTCTTCTCACCGGGTGCCAACCCTCTCGGAAGCGATCCTCAGGTCCTCGGAAATCTCTGTCATCCCAAGGGGGACGGTCATCCCAAGGGGGACGGTCATCAGGTGCCCATCTCCTGTCCTCCTCGCTCCAAGGGACGTCAGCAGGGCCAGGGAAGGGTCTGGGGTCCCGGGGACTGGGCTACAAGGGCAAATCACCACCAGTGAGGACAGCAGCGTGCTGGGGTGTTTCCCCCTCCTGCCACGACCCTCGTGTCCCACGGGGTTAAGGATGGTGAAGTGTATATGTAAGCAAAATAAAACTTTATTATCATTGATAATGGTGGGATTAGGCTAAAGGACATTAATCAGAATATCTACTACAGGGTAGAAATGCTATAGCTACTATTCACTGCAATTATCACTCACTAAATCAGTAGTTCAAAGCTAGTTTGATAATTAATTCGTGTACAGAGATTGCTGTTACTCACCCACGTTGAGGACTGTGGGCAGCTCTCTTCCACTCAACCTCAAGGGCTAAACCTTGAGGGACGTTCCCACTCAAGGAAGGAATTTCCAAACACACTCCTATGGGGAAGGGTGTGCTGGAATCCCTCCTTGAGGACTGTGGGCAGCTCTCTTCCACTCAACCTCAAGGGCTAAACCTTGAGGGACGTTCCCACTCAAGGAAGGAATTTCCAAACACACTCCTATGGGGAAGGGTGTGCTGGAATCCCTCCTGTTCAAAAATGGGACAAGGCTTTTATAGCATGAAGTGATTAACTACTAGTCACTTGGTGCCAAGCCAAACCTTCTACCTCTATAAAATGCTGTTTATCTTTATCGAAGTGATTAACTACCAGTCACTTGGTGCCAAGCCAAACCTTCTACCTCTATAAAATGCTGTTTATCTTTATCATTCTTTTGTTCCTCTTTCCGGGAACATCTGGTTTCACATCCTACCCCGTGACACTTATTCTTGGGGTTGCTGAGTCAAGCTAATCCCCAGTGTCCTTCAACACTAAAGGACAGTGTGACCTCTCATCGCAGCTGGTAGTTTTGCACCAGAGAACTCGTACGAGTGGGGTGAATTTTGAGACAACGTTCTTATTTCACCCCACCTAGGCAGAGCATCCTGCTGACACTGCACTCAGTCACTTTATGCTATAAAAGCCTTGTCCCATTTTTGAACAGGAGGGATTCCAGCACACCCTTCCCCATAGCAGCATGTTTGGAAATTCCTCCCTTGAGTGGGGACACCCCTCCAAGTTACCCCTCAAGGCTGAGTGGAAAAGAGCTGCCCACAGTCCTCTACGTGGGTGAGTAACAGCAATCTCTGTACACGAATTAATTATCAAACTAGCTTTGAACTACTGATTTAGTGAATGATAATTGTAGTGAATAGTAGCTATAGCATTTCTACCCTGTAGTAGATATTCTGATTAATGTCCTTTAGCCTAATCCCACCATTATCAATGATAATAAAGTTTTATTTTGCTTACATATACACTTCACCATCCTTAACCCCGTGGGACACCTCAGCTCTTTCTGCTTCTCCCGTTCCCAGGGGATCCCCTGGCTTTTCCCCCCCCAAGATGTGCAGGTGAACCCCAACAGTGCTGTCTCCCCTCACCCCTGTCCCTGTCCCCTTACCGGCC